ATTTATTTATTTGAGAGAGAGAGAATGAGAGAGAGAGAGCACGAGAGGGAAGAGGGTCAGAGGGAGAAGCAGACTCCCTGCTGAGCAGGGAGCCCGATGTGGGGACTCGGTCCCGGGACTCCAGGATCATGACCTGAGCCGAAGGCAGTCGCTTCACCAACTGAGCCACCCAGGCGCCCGCCTTGCCTGTTTTTTATAGAGAAGAGAAGTAACACACAGTTCATCTTTCTAGTGAGTTGACCATGAAGATTAACCTCTGGGTCCCTTAGCTAGTCACTTACTCCGATGTGAGTAGGTCTGCTTTTCTAGGAGAACCGTACAGGTGGCTATGCAAGACTGGAGTGGTATTTGTGCAGGTGTACTCGTATTTGTACAAGTGGTAGTGGGAGCTTTTGCATTTGGAGCCAGGCTCCTGGACGTATGGATGGCAGTCAGTGCCTGCTGTAAAGAGAGCTGGATGGGGCTCTTCTCAGGGGGGTGGGCATTTTGTGGGAGACTGGGAGGAATGGTGGGGTGTCCTGGGCTGGTGCCCCCGTGAAGAGGCTGGGAGTGAGGATTCACTTCAACCCCTGGTGGGAGGTCCCCACATGGAGGGATCAAGACCTCTGCCTCCTTCGTCTGTTCCCTCCATGAGGCCAGGTCAGCCCTGTGGCATCGCCCTTGGGCCTAAGGGCAGTGCAGAAGGACAGCAGGATGACAGGAAGTCAGTGAAGATGCGCGGTACAGGCTTAGTTTCCTGGGTTTTCTCTGCAGTTAGAAGAGGGGACAGTTGAACAGAAACAGCTAATTAAAAAAAAAAAAGTCCTTTCCTGAAATACTGTCTTCATGGATGCACAATAAAATCTGCCTGAAGAAGAACATATGTGGGAAATATTAAATTCTGCCTTCTTGTTGATGCTGTTTCTTGAACAGTTGACTTTCTGTACATCCGTCTACTGTGGTAGAGGGCTGAGTTACAAAGCCTAAGTGCCCCTCGGGTGCATAGCCTTCTTGCTCGGGGGAGGGGGGCTTTATGCGCACGGCCCTGCACTCCCCTGCACAGGGTGTGTGGGTCAGATCTGGGGGTGGGAGACCCACGTCCAGCACTCCAGGCGGCCCAGCCTGCAGGCGGATGACCAAGCGCTGCAGGGCCCAGGGCAGCGGGAGCCCCCTCTTGTGCGACGGGGTCAGGTTGGTGGGTGGGCATGTGAAGGACCCAGGGCTGGAATGCTCATGGGAAGCCTGCCCCACAGAGGCCTCCCAGAGGCCCCCCCGCCCCCAGGCCTGGCACCAGGTGGCAGTGGGAGGGTGTTTGTGGAAGGCGTGAGGGAAATCGCCGTTTTGCATTGATGGTCTGTGGCAGTGGGGAGTTCGATTACCCAGGCAAAAAGAAGAAGACCGCTCTTTCAGGAGTTACCTCGAGACTGTTGGATTTAATTACTGAACTTGTAAAATGTGAGCCAGCCTGAAGGGTGCTGTGAAAATTCCGTCGTTGACCTCGTGGAGCGCCCGTGTGGGGTTTATGAGCGAGGCCTTCCAGGCAGGGTCCGGTCCTCAGCGGTGGCCTGGCTGATAGCCAGCGTTTGTCCAGCCTGACAGAGCCTCAGTGTAAAGATTTCCATACATTTTGATTGACTTACTGTTAACATTAGGACTTTTGTTCTGGGTGAGAAAGTGTATAAAAAAGGAAAATGTCATGGCCTTTAATGTACCTTTTATCATGGGAGATTTTCAGCGTACAGGAAGGCAGGCGGCAGAGCCCGAGGGCCCCCTGCGCGGACACCCTGGCTTCTGCAGTGACCGGCTTCGGCTGCGGGTCGGCCCTGCCCTCTGCTTCCAAGTTACTCTGAGGAAGCTCCCAGCATGTCCTTCTGTCCACACGGATTTCAACGTGTAGCTCTAAAGAGAAGGCCCCTTGTAAAGAATGCCATTATGACACCTGTGCCTTTTTTTAAAAAGTCCCTGATTTGAGGTTTAATTGATGTACGACGAAGTAACCACGTGTAAGCCGTACAGTACGTTTTGACCTACGTACGCACCCCTGACACTACCCCCTCGGTCAGGATCGCAGGCCGGCCTCCACCGTCCACCGCGCTTTCGCCCTGGGCAGTGCCTGCCGACCGTTCCCGGGTGTAGTTGGATGCGTAGCTGATGGGCCCCAGCACCCGGGAGACCACCCTCCCCGCGCCCTCTCCGTCCTTTGCGGTTTGTTGCTCCGAGAAGCTGGGTCTGTCCTGCACACTTCCCGAGAGCCTGGGTTTTGCCGACTCTGTCGTCAGGCTGGAGCTCAGCATGTTTCTCTGTGTTCCTGACGGTGGTGCTTAGAGCCGGAGGCCGGGCCATGTCTGGGCTGGAGTTTCTGGGCGCAACGGCAGAGAGGGGGCGGCCCGCTCCTGTGCAGGGGGCACCTGGTGCACCCGGTTCGGGTTCCGCGGCGCTGCTGGTGGGCGGCACGGGGACGGCGCAGGACGCGGTCACTCGTCCGGCTCACGCAGCAGTGCCGCGCCCGCACTCTCACTGCCTCTGCACGGACTTGTCAGCCCGGCTGCCAAGGGGCAGTGCTCTGTCGTTCGGCCAGACGGCAGCCCAGAGCCCGCGCGGGAAAGAAGGCTGGGTGGTGGCTTGGTGCTCCCCTGTTGCTGGCTGGTTTCAGAAGGGTGTGTGGGCATCCCCCAGGATGACCACCTTGTCTCCTTCCCAGCATCTGTAGGAGCCCGAGCGCTTAGCTGTGTCCGACGTGTCTCCGTCTCTTGCTGTGTGCTGGCGCTCGGTTGGTTCCCTTGTTGCAGGGGGAGCCTCTGTGGGCTCATCCTGAGCCTTGTGACACGACCCGCTGGCTTCTTGCTGCCTGAGAGGGATCCCAGGCCTGGATTCCGCCATTTCTCCTCCAGGGACCCTGGTTCCTTTGAGTGGCTTCCAGAGGGGCCGAGCAAGTGGCTGTGTGTTGTAGATGGGACAGGTCATGTCAGCGAGGAATTAGAGGAAGCAGTAACTTCTCTAACGTGCTCAGGCAACAAATCCTGGACTGCTGAGGGAGGCTTTGTATGGGTGTTTCCAGAAGCTGCCCAGTGCCTGGCTCCGCATGGTGGGAAAGAGAAAGGTATCTCTGAGAGAACCTTTCAGGGCAGGAAGAATGGAGTAACTTCATGCCGATTTGTTTCAGAGTGTGGAAGCTCACGTATGCTCAGGACAGGGCCGGGGATGAGCCGCTTTGGCGTCATCACCCAGCACTGTGTCACCACTTCAAGGTTGGAGGGCACGTCCCTCCCTGGGGACCATCGGCGCCTTCGCTGCCCTCAGAACCGGGAGGAGGGCTCTGGGCCTCACCTCGGTGCTACTAACACAGTTAGACATAGATTCAGCTTGTTTTCATAAAAAGTCAAACCTTCTGGGACAAGGGTGATCTTCTGCTTCAGTCTCTTACTGTTTATAAGATACTGCTCTTCATAAAGGGATATGAGTGAGTTCTGCGAAAATAATTTTGAGAAAATATAAGTCGATTTCAGTTTGTGTCAATAGCAGCTCACTTATCCAGCTGCCTTGATTCTTTGGGATGGAAACTTGGTTTAAAGTCAGCGTGACACACGCACCCGAACCTCACTGTGCACTTTCTTGTTTGCAGCGACCTTCAGCGGGAGGTTCTGGGGTGTGTTAGAACCCCAGACGTGTGAGCACCTCACCACAACTGACCTGCCCTTCCGCCTGTCCAGCACCTTCCCCTACCTCAATCATTCTGTGGTTTTCTTTTTTGAAGAGGGGAGAGGGGAGAGAGAGCGCGAGCGCACGAGGTGGGAGGGGCAGAGGAAGAGAATCTCAAGCAGGCTCCACACCCGGCGCAGAGCCCATTGCGGGGCTCGCTCTCACAACCCTGAGATCACGACCTGAGCCTTTAAAAACAAGAGTCAGAGGCTGAACTGAACTGCACCCCTCATTGTTTTCTTTTTAAAAGTTTGTTATTATATTTAAAAGTGGAAGTATAGTTGACACAATGTTACCTTAGTCTCAGGTGTACAACCCTGTGATGCTGGCTCACAAGTGTAGCTGCCATCTGTCACCACGCCGCGCTGTCCCAGCGCCATCAGTGACATCCCCATGCTGGGCCTTTGATCCGTGACCGTTCACTCCACAGCTGGAAGCCGGGCCCTCCCCCTCCCCCTGGCAACTGTCAGCCTCTTCTCTGTATGTACAGGTCTGTCTCTGCTTTGTGTTTGTTTCCTGGTTTATTCATTTGTTTTTCGGTTCCACATATAAGTGAAATTGTATGGTATTCGTCTTTCTTTGACTTGTTTCACATAATAATACTCTTTAGGTTTATTCATGTTGTTGCAAGTGGCAAGATTTCATCCTTTTTGTGGCTGAGTAATATTACACACACACACACATTATCTCTGTCCATGGACACTTTGTTGCTTTTGCATCCTAGTTATTGTAAATATTGCTGCAGTAAACATAGGGGTGCGTTTATCTTTGAGAATTAGTGTTTTTGTTTTCTTTGGGTAAATACCCAGCAGTGGAATTACTGGATCACGAGATGATTCTGTTTTTAGTGTTTGAGGACCCTCCCTACTGTCTTCCGCAGTGGCTGCAGCAGTTTGCATTCCCACCCACAGTGCACGAGGGTTCCTTTTTCTCCACATCCACACCGACACCTGCTGTTTTCTTGTGTTGTTGATTCTAGTGTTTAACATTTTCTTATACAACTGTGGATAATGATTTTTAAAAATAACTTATAAGGTGATTACTTATGAATCTATTATTCATTGATGGATATTTACATTGTGAATGCTTCTCTCATATTTTTTGAAATCATACATTTGTTAGATCATTTAATTTCTTTGCTTAAATTGTAATTGAGATTGATTTCAAGAATGGTGATTGCGTATTTTTTTAAACGTCTCTAAACCATAAAACTTTTGAAAGCTAAGTATACAGAAATGTGTTTCCCCTTAGATCTCCAGTGCCTGTTGGGTTTTTACCAAAAGGAAAGTTGACAGCATATGATTCCTTACACGTCAATGTAGGTCCAGTACAATGACTTCGTAGAAAGGCCGAGACCAGGTGGCAAGGGAGCCCGGCTACCGAAGGATGAACGGCGAGGAGGAATTCTTCGATGCCGTCACAGGTGAGCGGGGCAGGAACCGACTCCGGGGCCACGGTGTCCCGGTCCCAGACTTGGTCCTGGGGGCATGAGAAGGCTCGGTAAAGCCGTGCAGGCGAGAGATGGGAGCATTCCCTGGCACTGACAACTCAGCAGAGGCGTGTGGGGGGAGGCTCTGGGCCACAGGTGATAACAAGAAAGGGCAACTGAGTTTCATCTCTAAGAGTTACCCTGGAGTGTAGATGCTTTTGTTTGCATCCCTAAGTGAGGTGCTCAGTTTTCTTTCGTCATATTTGTAGTCACACTGACCACGCCTTGCTGTCTTCACGTTAGAACTGATCTGGTCTAGCTTCGCCCAAGACCGTTGTCGAGACTGATACGCAGCCTGCCGTCTGTCCCATAGACGACGGTGTGAGCCTGCCAGGAACTAGCGCGTGGCAGGGCCTGTGTGTGCGTGTGTGGGGGTGGGCGCAGGGAAGGGGAGGGCAGGCTGGGCTGGCCCAGCTCACGCTGACTTCGAACGGCCTCTTCTCCCCGTCACTGGGAAGAAGCCCCAAGCACCTGAGGGGGCAAGTGCGCAGTGACCGTGTGCTCCTCACGACCCTTGACGTCGAAGCTGGCCATTCCTTCTCTGCCCGCCATCCCTCACGATCAACATTTGGAACGTTGTGTGTTGTCTGCTGAGGACCGTTAGTGGTGGGAAGGGACTTCGGGAGACTCTTGTAGTCCAGTTCCCTGCTTGTTAGGTAGAGGACTCTAACAGCAACTCTGAACTACTTCTCAGGGCCAGGTTTTTAGTGACGGACTCTCGGGTCAGCGGGGCTCCTCGTGCCTGCTCGATTGCCGTGACCGTGCCCTCTGGGCCTGCTTGGTGGCGTGTGCCGCCCCGTCGGTCTCGTGGAGCCCCCACAGGGCTCTCGGGGCGTCAGTCGCTCTGCAGCCGCGCTCCTCCCCTCAGACCCAGGGTCGCAGCGGGTTGGTGGACGGGCAGCCCCAGACTGCTGACTTCTTTGAAGCCCAAGAAGCAGGAGGCGCTGAGCTGCCCATGGTTTTCAGAGGCCAGATTATTCAGTCCTCTTCCGTGACCTTGTGGCTGCAGTGCTCCTCCTAGATGTGCTCCCAGGAAGCGCGTCGGTCTGCCTGACCTGCTCCTCAGTCACCGCTCGCAGCTGATTCCTGCCAAGCACGGTGGTCGGTAGGGCCTCAGGCCCTTGGGTCGCCGGGCCCTTGCGGGGGCGACTACATCTGGGAGCAGGAGAGCCAGCCTTGCCGCGCCCCTCTCTTCGGGGTCTCGTAGGAAGTTTCCTTTCGCCAGGGACCAGTGTAGCCAGATTCCTGAATGTCTCTGGACTTGGCCTGGAGGGTTTTCTCCAGAGAGGACTTGAGCTTTGTGCAGCGTGCCGTTTGGAGAAACTTCCATCTCTGCCTCTGCGCACGGCAGGGCCACGTCCCTGAGACAGAGGCGGAGGCAGCTGTCTGGGGACGGTGCTTTCTCACCTCAGTCCTTTGGTTCTAAACCAGATAATAGAAGAAAAGCACCACGTCTCCCAGTGCAGTGACGCAGCCTGGAGAGACGCAGAGTGCTGACTGCGTCACTGCGGAGGACTGGCCTGACTCTAGCTCTGTGGAGAAAGTAGGACAGAGTATCCAAACCCAGCACGGACCGGATGAATGGCTTGGTAGGCAGCTGCTTCGGCCAAGGATCAGCACTTGGTAGGCAGCTGCTTCGGCCAAGGATCAGCACTATTAAAGGGGAAAGTTTTATTTTTTTATTTTCTGTTTTATTTTTAAAAAATTTTATTTATTTGAGAGAGAGAGAGCACAAGCAGGATGAGGGTCAGAGGGAGAAGCAGACTCCCCGCTGAGCAGGGAGCCCGACTTGGGGCTTGACCCTGGGACTCCGGGATCATGACCTGAGCCGAAGGCAGACGCCCAACCGACTGAGCCACCCAGGCGCCCCAAGGGGAAGGTTTTAAGGTGCATGGAAAACGTGTACAGAAACAGACCGACCTGTTAGAAGTGTGTGCCTCCGAGTAATCAGATTAACAGGTGATTTCAGGCTTCTTTGCTTATCTGTCTTTTCTGTTTTCTACAATAAATATGTGTTATAGATGAAAATGTTTAACCTGTTTACGTAGTGTTGGCTTGATCTGAGGAAAGACTTCAGCATGATTGTCAGCGATGAGTTGCCTTGTTTTCCTGGGTGCACATTCAGGCGGGACCTCCCAGCAATGGGGGACCCGTGCAGACAGGGACACTGGTGGAGGGTGGTCAGGCAGGGGGTCTCCTTAAGAAAGGAACAAGGGGCGCCTAGGTGGCTCAGTCACTTAAGCCTCAGCCCGGCTCTTGATTTCGGCTCAGGTCATGTCCTCAGTCAGGGTCCTGGGATCAAGCCCCGCATGGGGCTCTTCGCTCAGCAGAGTCTGCTTCTCCCTCCGCCCCTCCCCCCTGCTCGTGCTCTGTCTCTCTCAAATAAATACATCTTAAAAAAAGAAAGAGTGAAGTTTAGGCTGGGGATTAAGTAGATGTTGCTCTTAGGTAGGTAGCAAGATCAGAGGTGACAGGCTGTTTGAGGGAATATTGATCATTTAGGAGGCTCGTTTTTGACAAACCTTGCAGAGCCATTGTATGGTAAGTATCAGTGCTACATCTTGCGAACCTGTCAACGTGGAGGAGCAGGAGAGAGGATTTTGTGCATATTCTCAGGAAAGTATAGTAGCAGATTTGTTTATGTTTCGGGTCTGGCAGCGCTCCCCCGCCTGGCCTTATGCCCTGGGCCTCGTCTTCCTCTGCCAAGTGAGGGGCTGGTGGGAACTCAGCTCCCGCTGGGTCTCATGTCGTCCCTACAGTGGTCACGGCCACGGCTACGGCTGAGCACTGCGGTCCCGGAGCCCCTTCCCTGGGTGGGCGGGCTTTGTTCTGGCAGCCGCGGCTCAGTGCTGGCGAGCCCAGGAGCAGAAGGCGTGTGCCTCGGTGGGCCGTACCGGCTGATGTGAGAGGAAGGGGGCCTCCTTTCCCCTGTAGCAGCCTGTTCCTGTGGGAGAAGGCCCTCCTGGTGGGGAAGTCCTCAGGAACCCACTGCCTGAGCTCTCTGTTGATGTGGGATGCTTGCAGAGCTTCAGCTGCTCATTCCACGCTTGGGTTCTTGCTCACGGGCCTGAGAGTCCGGCAGGGCGTTCCTGTACTAAAGAAGCTACTGCCATGGCCTGTATTCTAGAACAAAACCTTGTGCAGGGGCAGAACACGCTGCAGCCTCGAGGTGGGCCTGAGGGCCATCGGGGCGGCCCGCCGCACAGGGTGCGAGCCCTGACCAGAGCAAAGACAGACCGCTCTCTGCCCGACAGCAGAACCCCGGGTGGCGGCTGCGTCTGAGCTGCTCGTGGGAAAGCCCCCTGAGAGCAAGCACACCTGCATTCTCTGCCTCGGCCTGGGGCTCTTGCTGGGCAGAGCTAATGGTTGCAGCATGTGTCAGTCAGAAACCATGTGGGCTTCAGATAGTCTGTCCCGTGATCAGGACTCTTGGAGGGGGGCTTTATGTCTTCCCAGTCCTGCGAGAATGACCATTCTGCTTGTTGTGTGCAGGCTTTGATTCTGAGAACTCTTCCGGGGAATTTTCAGAGGCGGATCAGAGAGTCGCTGGAGTGATGCGCGTGGATACGGGCAGAAGCAATGGGATTGGAAAGGTCGGGGAGAGGCCCCCTCAAGAGAATGGGATTCAGAAGCACAGGTATGTCATCCTGCACGTGTGATTTAGAATCTTCCAGTGTATCTGTGACCGCCCCCCATTGTGCTGCAGGGCTCCTCTAGCTCTCCTGAGCCCTGAGCCGGAGGAGTGACCCAGCCTGTGTCACCTGGGTGCGGGGGCCCCTGGATGGCATCCCATGGCGGTGGGGAGAAGGCCTCCGTCCATCCCATGATGACTTGCTTTCTGGCTTAAGGGAGCCCTCCAGCCTCAACGCAGACCCCGCTCTGAGCCTTAGGCCCCCGTGCCTACTAGATGTGTGCACAGGGGGACTCAGGTGCCTCACTCACACCCCTGTTTGTGCCTTCATTCACTCGGCACTTGTCAGGGCACCCCCTGCATGCTCAGATGGCACATGCCCGAGAGCAGGCCGGGCTCTGTTGACCGGACCTCTGCCCTCATCCCCTCAGCGCCCGGGAATCTGGTTCATACGTCGGCCCGATGCCGCCCTCCTTCCCCTGTGCGCTGTCGCCCAGCTCTGACCCGCTGGCCTCGTTCCACGGGTCTGGGCCCCTCAGCCCTCCTAGCTCCTCTGTCATACCCCAGTTCATCTGCACTGCTTCTCCTGCGCCTCATGGTGCCTGTAACTGCTTCCACACCCTCTCGTCGCCTCCATGCTGTGGGCAGAGTCGTCTTTCCACAAGACTGGTTGGACTGGGCCTCCTCCACCTCGTGGTTGGAATTCTCGGCCAGTGTCCACCTGGTCCCTGTTGATGGCTAAGAGAAGTGTCTCAGCTGGGATAGGGGACTGTAAGGTCACCCTCCTCTTGGGGCAAGGGCTGGCCCTACTCCTCTGGCTCCGGCCCCTGTCCCGTTGTCACAGCCGACAGGGGCCTCTTTTAAGTCCTCAGGGGTGCCCAGGTCTTTCCCACAGTGGAGCTCTGCTCGGCTCCCTCAGCCACGGCGCTTTCCTCCTGTGTCTCTTTAGTTCTGGCTTTTCCCTCCTGACTCAAGCAAGGCTCACCTCGGGGGGCCCCTTCCTGGCCCTGGCCGGAGCTACAGCCTTCCACGTGGCACCCCTCGCAGTCTGTGCCTGCCCCGCCGTGGCTGCTCCCAGCGTTCACGGAGCCCCGGCGGAGAGCTGGGTCTAGAGCTGAGCGTTGGGTGCTGGCAGCCTGGCCCGTGGTGCTTGCCAATGTTAGTTTCCTTTCCCATTTCATCTCCAGCAGCCCTGTTCTTCTCTCCCTCTTACCCTAAAATCAACAGTGTGCCCCGAGCTGGTTGCCCCTAACGTGATGTCCCTGGGGAGAGTGTGCCTCCCACCTGGGCCAGCGCACGCACTGTCATTGCTCAGAAGCCCAGAGCCACCACGCGGAGGCTTCTGAGCCGGGCGCTCCTGCCGCAGGGGCAGTCGGCGCTTACACAGACCCAGAAGTCAGTGGGGAGCATGGGCAGCTACAGGGACCCCTGGACCCAGGCGGCACCTTCCGGGGGCCCCTCACGCTGTGGCTGCCTGCGATGGGCTGTCTTCAGTGAGTGGGTCCAGCGTGCCTCCCCCCAAATCTGGATTCACAGCCCGCTCAGGCACCCCCTTTCCAGGAGGAGAGAGCATCTCATTCCAGCCCCAGATTCCCAGGAGGGACACTGGCGGTCTTCTCCTGGAAGCTGGCGGGAAGAGAGCCTGACAAGGAATGTACCTCAGGAGAACAAACTCAGGGTTGAAAGGGGCTTACGGCAAGCTTCTGGGAAGGTTTTGTTAAATCAGTTCCCTCTTGTGACCCGGCCTCTGCCTGTGGGCCTGTGGCTGATCCAGGGGAGGGGTGCCCTGTCCCCCCTCTGTGGAGATGAAGAAGGTTGTCTGCGTGGTCACGACCGTTTCCCGGGAGACCCCCCAGAGCAACGGTGCAGAGCCTTCCTTTGGGACTAGAGAGTACTGTAGCTGCTGGAGCAGACGGTGCGGTGTTTGCATCTGAAAACTGGCCACTGAGCACGATCAGCGGTGGGAAGTGAGTGTCATGCTGGAGGAATAAGTACGTGTTTCTTGGCTCGCTTCTTCACAGGACATCATTGCCCGCCCCGATGTTCACCAGAAGTGATTTCAGTGTGTGGAGTATTTTAAAGAAATGCATCGGCTTGGTAAGTTCAGATGGACTCATTTTGGGGCTTTAAGCCAAAATGTTTTTATTTCCTGTGCATTTGTTGCACTGCTGCTAGTTTAAGAAGGTGCGTTCTGCATATTTATGACAGCGTGAAGCGAAGGCAATGAACTAGGAAAGGGACAGAGACGTAAAGGGAAGAGGAGAGAAAAAGGCCAAGTGTTTACGGACAGCGGGAAAACAATCCCGCAGGTCACACGCCTGACGCAGGGAGCGCCCTGTGACGGGCTCGGTGTTGGCTGGCTTCGGACGGGGGGCTCCCCGATGCATGCTGAGGGCAGGCCATGGGCAGGCGTGCAGGACTCGGGGCTCCGTCCCCCAGCCACCCCCCGCACCGGGCTGCAGGCAGAGCCCAGCCGGGTTAGCAGCGGGAGAGTGGAGTGATTGGTGTCCGGGGCCGCAGGCTTTTCTCACGGTCTCCGGGACGGTCTCGACTGTTGTGGGAATGTGAGCTGTGCCCCTTGGGAGGGAAGAGCGCCCCACAGGCCACGGGGTGACACGGACTCCAGTGAGTGTTGTACCCACAGGCACGTGGCCCTGTCCCTGGCGCTCCTCACAGGACTGTTGCCGCCTTTGCTTCTGCCCCAGCTGGCGGCCTTTTTCCCAGAGGAAACTGCATCTTTTCTCCCACTTTGTATTTTGAAATAGTTTTGGACTTTTAGAAGATTGCAGAGGCACATTGAGCCCTGTTTACCCTTCACCCAGCTGCCTGTCACAGCGGCCTCTCACGTAGTAGCCAGAGCTCAGTGGGCAAGGGGACACGGGGACCCTTGTCGGAGCATCACTGCTCTCTGCACACGGGACTTGCTTTCCCAGTGTCTCCCCTGCTGCCCTTCCACTAGAGGGTGCGGGGTGTGTGTGTGTGTGTGTGTGTGTGTGTGTGTGTGTGTGTGTGTGTTTCCAAAGATTTCATTTACTCATTTGACAATGAGGTAGAGCACAAGCAGGGGGAGTGTCAGGCAGAGGGAGAGGAAGACTCCCCGCTGAGCAGGGACCCCGACATGGGGCTCGATCCCGGGACTCCGGGATCATGACCTGAGCCAAAGGCAGACGCTCAACCGACTGAGCCACCCAGGCGCCCCTGGAGGGTGGTGTTTAGACACCAGGGCCTGGCGCTGGATGTGCTCGCCCCTCCAGGGCTGTCACCGCCACAGGCCTCTAAGCAGACAGAGCTGGAAAACCCAAGTATGCATTCTGACCCTGCTTGCACACACACGCACATGTTTTTGTACATGTTTCTTATCTTTTATTTTTTTTTTATGTTTTCAGGTTGTTTTTTTTTTTAAGATTTTATTTGAGAGAGAGGGAGAGCACGCTTGCATGAGCAGGGGGGAGAGGGAGAGGGCGAGGGAGAAGCAGACTCCTGGCTGAGCAGGGAGCCCGATGCGGTACGGGGCTCCATCCCAGGACCCTGGGATCATGACCTGAGCCAAAGGCAGACGCTTAACCCACTGAGCCACCCAGGCGCCCCTATGTTTGATTTTTTAAAAGATTTTTATTTTTTAGATTTTATTTATTTGAGAGAGAGAGACAGAGATAGCAACAGAGATAGTGAGAGATAGCACAAGCGGGAGGAGAGGGAGAGGGAGAAGCAGGCTCCCCGCTGCGCACGGAGCCCGACGCGGGGCTCAGTCCCAGGACCCTGAGATCATGACCTGAGCTGAAGGCAGACGCTTAACCGACTGAGCCACTCAGGCTCTCCTAAAGATTTTTATTTTTAAGTACTCTCTGCAGCTAACATGGGGCTTGAACTCAAAACCCTGAGATCAAAAGTTGCATGCTCCTCTGACTAAGCCAGCCAGGCACCCTGCATGTCTCTTCTGTTTTAAAACGACACGGTTGGGATTCTTTTTTCTTAGCAGTGTTATCTCCCACGTTTTTCACTGTGTGAGTAGGTCAGGTCCAGACAGGTGTGTCTGTCTGAAGATAGGTGATGAACTCCACTGGCTCCTTGATCTTGAGGCTTGTTTTTATAAACTGACATCATTACATTGCATTCCCCGAGGAATCCACCTTGGGGGTAGGATGCATTCAGATTAAAGCTGAACAAAGCACGTGGGTCGACACGTTCCTGGAGCTACACCAGCTCAGCATGATGGGCTTTGCCTCTGAAGTGGAGACGCCACTCTCTTTACTGCTTAGCCTGCTGAGACAGCAGCGACGCGCTGGCCCACGGGGGCTGTTTCGGGCACGTGCTGCAGCAGGCAGGGCTGAGTCCCGCCCCGGCTACTGCGGCACCCCCGGCATCGGCCAGGGCTCATCACCCCCAGCCACACTTCATCGCTTCCTGCCTCCCTTAGTACTTTGAAGTAAATTCCACTTGCAAATATATCTTGTATTGCTAAAGGATACAGATTCTGGTTTGTTTGGTTTTTTTAATGTTTTTATTTATTTGAGAGAGAGAGTGGGAGGGAAAGGGAGAGAGAATCTGAAGCAGATTCCGTGCTGAGCACGGATGTGGGGCTTGATCCCAGGACCCTGAGATCGTGACCTGAGCTGAAACCAAGAGTCGGACACTTCACTGACTGAGCCACCCAGACGCCCCCAGATTCTGTTTTAACACAACCACAGTCCTGGTATCCTAGTGCAGGAAAGTACATAGCCTGTTAATGTCATCAAATTCCTGGTTGTCTTGAGTGCCATTCCGGTCCATGTGTGGACACCTCTTTGTTACTTCTCTCCTGACCTTGAGTTCCTGATGCTCAGTGCTCCAGTTGTGGAGCTGAGCCCACGCAGTCACTCTGCATTTATCTGCTGGGACACCGCTTCTGTGCTGAGAACACACCCTTCCACTACTGTGAATGCGGTTCTCGCATAAGGAAGTCAGGGTCAGTGAGTGACACTTTCTTTTTCACCGTTGTCAAGTGATGTTATTTGGTTCACTAGCCATTACCCAGCATGACCAGTATAACCAACTAGCTAGTCTTCTGTTGTTTTTTAAATACATGGAGTTAAAGCTCCTTGATGTGTTCTGGTCCCCGAGTTGTTCTACCTTTGGCTGGTAATAGCGTCTTCAGGTTGGCTGCAGTCCTTCACAGAAGATGCTCTGGCTCGTTCTGTACCTTTCTTGTCTAGGATCTGGAATCAGCCCCTTGTCCAGGGAGAGAGAGGACTCAAGACCACAGCTGGGCCCCAGGGAGGCTATCAGGTTGCTTTTTCTAGGTTTTTCCCAGGGGAGAGAGCTAGGAGCTGTTTTGATTTGTTTCAACGATGCTTTAAATTTGGGATGACAGGATTAATCTAACCTCCTCTATCTTCTGTCTGTGCCTCTTTTCTCCCATACCGATATTCCCAGTTTTTTTAAAAGATTTTTATTAATTTATGTGAGAGAGAGAGAGAGAGAGAGAGAGAAAGAGAGCATGAGCGGTGTGAGGGGCAGAGGGAGAACCAGACTCCGCGCGGAGCAGGGAGCCGGACGTGGGACTCGATCCCAGGACCCTGGGATCATGACCTGATCTGAAGGCAGACACTTAACCGACTGAGCCACCCAGGCGCCCCTGATAATCCCAGTTTTTAACCACACTGGAGATGTCTGATTTAGATGAGCATGTAGTGACTCACCTGCTCTATCCCACACGCATAACGGTTCTGGAGAATAGGACCACCTCTGCTGCCAGCAGCATGTTTACTGAAACGTGCAAGTTTATTGGCTTTTGTGGTTCATTTCGTCCTTAGGGTACATCTCAAGTCACTGTGCAGTGATCCCTTCTCTGGTTGGCTGTGCCTGAGGGGCTTGCGTGCATTCATTTGTTTCACTTTATTCTTGATGTTTGGAGATTGCTTTTCTAAATTAATTCTGTTTCAGAATTGTTAATCCAAAGTCAAATCTTTTGGATGAGATTCTGGTGTGTTCCGTTAAAAAAAAAATCTTAAAAAAAAAAAAAAAAAAGGGCGCCTGGGTGGCTCAGTCGTTAAGCGTCTGCCTTTGGCTCGGGTCGTGATCCCAAGGTCCTGGGATCGAGCCCCGCATCGGGCTCCCTGCTCAGCAGAGAGTCTGCTTCTCCCTCTCCCACTCCCCCTGCTTGTGTTCCCTCTCTCGCTGTCTCTCTCTGTGTCAAATGAATAAAAATAAAACAAATCTTAAAAAAAAAAAAAAGTTTCTGGTATATTCCAAGAATTTAGCTTCCTGTCCCTGATCTCTCTGTGCATGTCCCCTTCCCCTAGAGGGGACCACTTCGGAACTTTCCGGCCTGTCTTCCCGTGCATCAGAAAGCTGGTTGTGTGTTATCTCCTCCCTCTTTCTTCAGACAAACAGGGGCTGCTCCACCTTTTCCCTGTGTGGTGCAGCCACGGCGGTGTAGAGCTACTGCTTACTCCTGTGGTCATTGCATCGGGCGGCCTCCTGGGGCCCTGTGGGACGTTTGAGTGATGTCTGGTGTTTGGCTAGACCAAAGAGTAGGTATGTGTGCCGTTGTGCTCCTGCAGCCAGGTCCCCAGGGGGGGGGAACCTCTTTACCCCCATCCGTGCCCCAGGCAGGTTTCAGTGTTGCCGCTTGAGCAGGTGAGCAGTGGGGTCTCCACATCGTGTACTTCCTTTCTCCTGAAGAGTAAGGTGAGCATCTTCCCTGCGCTCTGAGCAGGGTGGGCCTGAGCCCACTGGTGACGGGTCTTCCCTGCCCCTTCTAGGAGCTGTCCAAGATCACCATGCCCATCGTCTTCAACGAGCCTCTGAGCTTCCTCCAGCGGATCACAGAGTACATGGAGCACGTGTTCCTCATTCACAGAGCCTCCTGCCAGCCCCAGGCCCTAGAAAGGATGCAGGTGGGTGGTGGGCTCCTTTCAGGGGGCACCAGACATTGAGCTCGGGTGGGTGCCAGACCATAGTTTTTAATGGACCTGACACCACCTGACCAGCCACATCATAGTAGGCGCCTCACCAGGGGGACGTCGGAGGAAGGGCGTGCGTGGCTCACGCTGACTTTTGGGTGCCATCCTGCTCGACAGCTCGGGCATCTGTCCCGGGGCCTGATCTCCACGGGTGGCGGTGGGCCCTGTGCCTTGGCTCCTCCTGGGTCCTTTTGGGACTGGCACCCTGTGTGCGTGCGGGCACGGCGGCCAGACTGACCAGCTGCGCCACGGGGCCTCGAGGCCGGGCAGGCCTTGGGGGGGAAGCCGCACACAGTTCCCGCTTGTGTGGCTTTGAGGAAGTGTCCGTGATAAATGGCACTTCTCTGGAAGTTCTGTAATCTCAAAGCATGTGACAAGCGGGAGACTGAGGTGGCCAGGAGCGCACCCTGGCCCCGAGGAGCTGCGTGCCTGGGGCGCCCCGGCGGCCCCTCGCTCACCACTGTGTGCGTTGCCCCCAGTGCGTGGCGGCCTTCGCGGTGTCCGCTGTGGCTTCCCAGTGGGAGAGGACCGGCAAGCCCTTCAACCCCCTCCTGGGAGAGACCTACGAGCTGATCAGGTAAGGGCCCAGGCCGTCGGGGTCACCAGGGCTTGGGGCGCAGAGGGAGGTACAACACACACCACAGTGCCCGGGGTAAAGCGGACAGAGACGGGAGAGCGCGCAGGGCGTCGGAGTGCGCTGTGCAGGAGGGCGGGCGGGCTCGTGCTGCACTAAGAGGGAAACAGGCCCTAGTGAGTAAAGCCAGCCCGCGTCACCAGGGCGTCTTAGTAAGTGTCACAGAGGGGCAGCTGGAGCTGGAGAGCGCAGCAGCCGCAGAGGGCACAAGCGCAGCCTCCCGAGGCTGGCGAGGGGCCGGGGTGACTGAGATCCGTCTGGGTAGAGTTCCTTTCAGGCAGCTCCCCAGCCTGCCCCCAGCTTCTGACCCCGTCTTCGAGGTCTGCACACACCTCCAGGACCAGCCCTGCCTGTGGCGGTCCCGGCAGGGGCCCTGGGAGGGTGGGCTGGGCCTGTTTGGGGTGCTCTTCTTAGCCCCCAGACCACATGAGCAAAAACTGACGGCAGTGTTGTCTTTCTCCATCACGGGATCAGCTGGGTGAAGGGCAAGCTCTCTGGCCTGGGCTGTGGCTCCGGGAGCGTGAGCGTGAGCGTGGGGCTCTGGGAGCGTGGGACTCTGGGAGCATGAGTGTGAGCGTGCGGCTCTGGGAGCGTGAGTGTGGGACTCTGGGAGCGTGAGCGTGCAGCTCTGGGAGCGTGAGCGTGGGGCTCTGGGAGCGTGGGACTCTGGGAGCGTGAGCGTGGGGCTCTGGGAGCGTGAGTGTGAGCGTGCGGCTCCAGGAGCGTGAGCATGAGCACGCAGCCCCGGGACCGTGAGCATGAGCATGGGACTCCGGGAGCGTGAGCGTGCTCAGTCCTCTGTGGGGCCGTTTGGCGACGGCAAGAGTAGCTTTTTCTCCATCTCTCTGGGTCCTGTGGAGAGCTTATTGGAATGTTTTATTAAATAAAACTTTGGTTTTTAATTACAGAGCATGTTCCTTGTGGAAAATGTGTAGATTGAGCAAAGTGAGATGAGTCAGCCGTGATCCTGTAGAGTTAATGTTTTGGTGGATTTCCTGCCGTGTGTCGTGTGTGTGTGTGTTCGCACGGTGTGACGGGTAATTTGTACCACTTGCCACTTCACATCGTGCCGTCCTCGCTTCCCCACGATACGAAACGCTGGTGCGGAGTCACTGCGTGTGTCGTGTCTGACGTGTGTGCGCGCGTTGCCGTGTGGTGCCGGGTGCTGCTGCTTTCTGTCATGAAGGAGCGTGCGTCGTGTGGTCCCTGGTGTCTGGGCTTCAAAGAGTCCTTCAGGTCGTGCTTCGCGGGCTCTCTGTTGCCCTTACTAATGCGTGTTAGCGATCACGAGTTCTTCAAAGGTGAGCACGCGGTTGTGGGAACTGGGGTGTTGGTCTGCTTGAGTCAGCGCTCTGGGCGTGTGGCGGCGCTGACAAGCGTGTGCAGGGGGCGAGTGTCAGCCTGGGTTTCTGAGCTCTGCGGGCAGAGTTGGCACCCGTAGCCACGCAGGTGGGCCTGCACGTCTTCATGGAAACCCCTTAGCAGTTGGGGAAGCGACAGAAATGTCTAGTGTCAGGCTCTGGCCTGTGTGGCTGCCCCTCACCGCGTGGCCCCACCCACTGCGTGGCCCCCCCCCCCCGGGGCCCCCCCCCCCCCACTGCGTGCTGCTGGCATTGGGGGCAGTGGCCCGCTGTTCTGAGGGACTGACAGGCTGGCTGGCACTGAGTGCTCAGGAACCTGCTTTCGAAATCCCATTCCCTCGAGAAGGCTGGCGGGTCAGAAGGCACAGTTTTGCTGTGTGGTGTGCTCACGGGCGACGGCAGCCAGGAGGGCACCCTGGGTGAAGAGGGCAAGTCCTTCCTTCTTCAGTTCAGAGATGGGGAAACTGAGGCCCACCTGAGGGGAAAACCTGCCCCGACAGTCACTCTTCAGGGAAATTTTGTTCTGAATTCACGTGGACAGTTCTTTCTTTCCTAGAATCATTCCTTTTGAGCGACAGTTACTCCTGCCGTGGAGATTCTGACCTTGTCTAGCTCTGAGGAAATTGTTAGCATTTTCATTTATTCAAAAGCACCATTAACATATCTTAGAAAGAAAAATTAAAACATAATACAGCAGAAGTTTTAGACAACGGGAGACAAGCAATACGGATTAAAAGACTGTGACCCCGAGATGCTGGACACGGTGCGACACACCTGCCTATTCATCTTTTCCAGGAACTTCAGGGGTTGAGCCAGTTTCCACTGACAGAGAAATGAGCCTTCCTCCTAAGCTTGCAGGTGCCGTGTGTCACGTCCTGGTGTCCCGGTCGCGCGTGTGGCCTGTCCTCTGTGGGCAGGGCCCTGAGGGGTCTTCCTGTTTGAGCAGCTACGTAACTGAACCAAGTCATGCTCCATGTCTTTTTCCCTACAGATTGCTCCTGTAGAGCCAAAAATAGCACTTTCTTTTCTTAGACAAGTGTTCATTTTGTAAATTACATACCTTGGTAGGCAACCTTTTAAAATCTAATTTTTCAACTTTCCTTTCTCTGTAACGATTGGAAATTCTGATTCCAGTTAAGTTAGTAATTATGTGGTTTAGCTTTTATAATTTTTAATGCCTACAACTGTAGGTGTATTCACAGTTCCGGAACAATTAAAAACTGACATTTTTATTGAAAAAGAGCGTGTACTAAAAATCCTATTTCCTGGCCAGGAGTGTCTTGGGGCATCAGACATTCCATCATGAAACTTCCAGGAGCCTTAGAAGAAGACTAGAGAAGAACCCCCTTAGGCGCTGGGTGTCCCTCGAGGACTAAGATGGCAGTTTGTATTGGGGCCTCTACGTCCCTGGTTCCAGCAGACGCATCTAGACCGGCGTGTTCTGGCGGGGGGCGGGGGGCGTCTGTGAGCAGAGGGTCAGGGTGGAAGAGTCCCCTCCGCACCATTCCTTGTTCTGTCTAGTGTTCAGATGTGCCCCAGAGGCACAGAGGATGTGTGTGCAAGTGTGTGTGGGGGGTGTCAGCGTTAGGCTGTCAGAGAGCAGGTGTTGGATATTTCTGCCCCCTGGGGCGAGGGGCATGGAGATGGAGTGTGCGTTCGCCTTTCTCAGTGTCCCTCCCGGACGTGTGGGCTGGGGTGGGCCTGCCATGCCAGGGGCTGTGGGGCTCCCCCGAGAGGGGTGCTGAGCCGGCCTTTGTCGGATTTTACGGTCTCTGATGTGGCTCTCTCCCCTCTTGTTTTTGTGCCTAGGGAAGATTTAGGATTCAGATTCATATCTGAACAGGTCAGCCACCACCCCCCCGTTAGTGCATTTTATTCAGAAGGCCTCAATCAGGACTTCCTGTTTCACGGCTCCATCTACCCGAAGCTGAAGTTCTGGGGCAAGAGCGTGGAGGCCGAGCCCCGGGGCACCATCACGCTGGAGCTGCTCAAGTGAGTGCGGCGGCGGGAACCTGAACAGAAATGCAGACTCTTCCTTCCAGTGTGGGGTGGGTCACAGCCTTTCTCTGTTCAGGCCTTTCCACCGGCAGGAGCCCCTTCAGGTAGGGACTCCCCGTCAGACCCCTCCCCGGCATGGGTGCAGTTCGCACGCCTGAGTGTGGTGCGCACCACGTGACCTGAATCGCCTTCGTCACTGCTGCTGCTGGCTGTGCCCAGACGTAGGAACTTCCAACAGCCACCGTTTGCCCTCCCACACGGTTCCTGAGGGCTGGGACTGGGGAGCCGCATAGCAGGCCGCCCTGGCTCAGGGCCCCGTGAGGTGGCAGAAGCCATCGTCTCTTTTATGACCTCATCTCAGAAGTGACCCTAACCTTAAACCCCTGTTGGTCACACAGAGCAACCCTGCTTGAGGGTGGGAGAGAGATGCGGGCTGAATCCCAGGAGGTAAGGGAACAGCGAGAGGTGTCCTGGAGGTTGCCCGCAGACCCGTCAGACTTCATCCCAATGCAGTGTGTTGCTCAGACATCTCAAGCAACAACCAAATCTCTGGCAATTGCCTGGATATTGCAAGACCATCGTTAGGCGGGTCCAGGCCGCGGCAAGCTGCTGGTTCTTGGAGGTGCTCTTCTTGCTCACCATATAGCTGTAATGAAGCATTTGGTATCAGTTTTGCTTCGTGGCTGGTGGCCAGAGAATAGCAGTACCTGAGCCCTGGGCATCTCCGGGCCCAGTGAGGGCCCCCCCTTTTCTGGGAGGCGTGCCTGTCTTGCGGTGGTCTTTGTTTTCTTGAGGTGAGGCATGCAGGATTGAAACGCTGCAAACCTTATTGATTAATGCGTTTGGGTTCCCCCTGGAAATTTGAGGGGTTCCAAATATTTATCCTGAATACTTCTGCTCTGAGATGGTCTCTGCCCTTCAGTATGGCTCTTTGACACAGCCTCCCTCGAAACACGGGTCTGGTGCTCTTGATCCATCTTTGTGGAGCTTTCTCCTTGGGTCAAGCCGTTTGGGGAGGATGAGGAGTACACGCAAAGGTGTTTGGAAGGTTGTTCCCAGCAATCGCATGTGCCCCAGCGTTCCTGCCACGGAGCGGCTCCCCACAACCCTGGGCTGGCCCAGGGCATGCAGCTCCTGCTGGTGGAGGGGCTGGTGTGCCGACAGCTTCGCAGGACAGCCGTGTCTCTTTGTCTCGGTGCTCTCCTGTCGCTTATTAACTTGTCCTGACATTTCAGAGGAAAGCTTTGTTGCTGCTACAAAGGAAAGCAGAAATAAATTTCAAACAAATGCTAAATAAATCGCCACCGTTGGAGGGAGTTCAAAGCAATATTCGGCTCTTGTACAGGTTTTAAGGCAATTATGGTTTAATTCTGTCTGGTATTCCGCTTCTCAGGTCACGCAGTGTCCTTCGCTTTGCTGGCCTCTGACTTGCTTGTTTTCTGGCATGTTTCACAGACACAATGAAGCCTACACCTGGACCAACCCCACCTGCTGTGTACATAACGTGATCATCGGGAAGCTCTGGATAGAGCAGTATGGGACGGTGGAGATTGTAAACCACAGGTAATAGCACCCAGGGTGCTGTGATGGTCACAGAATGCGTGGAACGTGCAGATGCGCTGCATCCTCGAAGAGGTGCTTCCGCCCTGCTCCCCGCGGCTGTGTCTGTTCTTGGGGTGTGTCTTGCTTTGCACGGAGGGCCGGGCCCAGTGCTCCCTGGTGCAGGTGCTGGTTGGTGCTGGTATCATCTCTGGTGCCCCTCGTTGCTTCCTGTTTTCGTGTTAGTTACAATAGTGAATTTATTTTGAAATTTTAAACTACGTTGAAGGATGGTGTGATTCCCAGATGAGAAAGTCACTACCATCCTCAAACGCTACCCACTGTCCATACCTTCTTCCTGGGAGCCCATGACCTATCGGCTTTGTTTTCCTGCAGCTTTATTGAGATATGGTTTGCATATCATAAAATTCACCCACTTACATTGTTAACTTAGGTGATGTTTAGTGTATGTACTGAAGCGTGCTGCTGTCAGGGTTGGAACCTCCCGGTCAGCGCAGCGAGCTCCCCCACGTGCCCACCGCCGCCCCCATCCTGGCCGCCTCTCTTTCCCCGTTCACTTCCCCCGGCCATTTCTCATCACACAACAGAAGCCTGTGTTTGTTCTCCCCACAGAACTGGAGATAAGTGTGTGCTTCATTTTAAACCCTGTGGATTGTTCGGGAAAGAACTTCACAAAGTGGAGGGGCACATTCAAGACAAAAAGTAGGTCTGCGCACAGACGGTTCGGCACGGGCTCCTGCAGCACGCGCGCACCCTGTTAGCGATGCAGTCATGCCAGTGACATCTGTTCGCGGGAGAGAAAAATGATGACTCTCTTTTGTTTAGAAAAGACATTTCTTTATTGAGTCTGCAAGGGGACGAAGGATTAGTTTTAAGTGTCGTCTCTGGGTGGTGAGTGAGTGGGGTCTGTCTGTCCCTCTCTTGAGGATGAAAGCTCTGCGTCTGTTTTCTTTTGATAAAATGGACGTGAGGAAATTAGGTGTCCTCACGGAGAGCTAATCCTGTCGTTTTGCAACCAGAACTGGGGTTGGAAACGTGAGCGTGAGTTTCCTCCTCTCTAGCAGCGCCTGCTACCGGTCGTCGGCACAGCTCCAACCCTAGCTTGTGAGGGGCTTTTAAAGTGTTTGTGAGCAGAGAAACGGTCAGAGTCCACAACAGATTTTCTGGGGTTTTCTCTCCTTTGGGTTACTTACCTTATGTTTTTGGTCTCAAATTTCCCATTTTTTTTCCCCAGTAAGGAATTTGGGCTTTATATAATGTCATGAAACTCCTGCCAGCTCCAAAAGCTATACATTTTTTTTTCTTTTTTAAAAGTAGGCTCTATACCCAACGTGGGGCTTGAACTCACCACCCTGAGATCAAGAGTCGCATGCTCTACCCACTGAGCCAGCCAGGAGCCCCCTACACATTTTTAATTAGAAACAAGTTTCCAATGTAAAGCAGTGGGTGCTTTTGCTCCTTTCTACTCTTTGGGTAGCAGAAGGTCACCTGCTCAAGTGGCCTGTGAGATGCTTTTAGGCTTTAGACTCTGAGCACCTTGCCCACTGAAGTAAGTCGGGACTCAGCCCTCAGACTTTGGAGGACAGCAGTCTTCTTCGTGACAGCGCCCGCACAGCCTCTCCCTGGTGGAAACAACCCCAGCAGAGACCGTGGTCGGCTTTCATACAGATGCGGGCCATAGGAGCGGAGTCCATGCCATGCCTCGAGGCCACGCTCACCAGCCCTTAGGGGCTGCAAACCCTGTTCTGATTTTCTGGTTTTCTATCCCAAATTGGAGTGAGCTCTTTCCTAATGCTCTACTTCTTGGAGACGGGCCATGTCGGCCAAGGTGTCTGCTGAGTGAGGACTGGCTGAGTGTCCCCCCACCAGTCCCTGCATGCCATTTTTCCAGGCTGAGCCTCTGAGACAGGGGTGCCCTCCCAGGATGTCACGTGCCTGGCAGAGTAGTATTTCCAGGGAGTGCATGGCCACTGTGCTGTCCCTGCAGGAGGATGCAAAAAAGAAAAAACAAACAAAACAAAAGAGTCCTACGCTATTGGCATTCCTTTTGGAATCAGGTGGAGAGCTCTGGTGGTTGACCTGGAAAGTCTCCAGAGATTATTATTAAATGAAAAAAGCAGGCGAGCGACGATGTGGGCATCCGATTTGTGGTTACAAAGATAAAGCAGACAACGTCCACTGAAATTGAAGGGCTGTTGATGTGATTTATTGGAGGGGGGAACACAGTGTGTGGAAGTTTGTGCATTTCAGGGACGGTGACCAGACAGGCAGTGCAGGCTTGCATGACACCAGACGCCCCCTGTCTCTCGCCGTCTCCGGTGGCAGGGCCCTGCCGGCCGCGTTGGGGCTGTGTGCCCTCGTCCTCTTTGCTGCTTCGGTGAATCAGGCCCAAGCAGGGGCCCTAAAAGGCAGATTTTCCTCTTTGCTCTTATGTCCCGAGAAGTCCTAACATTTATAAGGAGACAAGCCAGAATGGGCATTTATTCCATGGTCAAAATTAAGGTGCTACATGTTTAGATGAATGATTTTTGATTAAATTCCCTTTGACGGGGTGCCTGGCTGGCTCAGTTGAAAGAGCACACAACTCTTGATCTCGGGGTTGTGAGTTGGGTGTAGAGATGACTAAAAAAAATAAACTTTAAAAAAATAAATAAAAGTTTCCTTTGCAGCAAAAAGAAGCTCTTTATGATCTATGGAAAATGGACAGAGTGTTTGTGGGGCATAGACCCTGCTGCGTATGAGTCCTTCAAGAAACGGGAGAGGAGAGGTGACCAGCTGAGCAAGGCACAGCCAGTAAGGCGTTGCTGTCCCCCAGGGTGGCCCCCGGGGCCGGGGGGTGGGGGTGGGCAGGGCTTTCGGCTGCTGGAGTGCTGGGAATCAGCCTTCCCTCTGCTGGCTGGCTGTGGGGTCCTAGATTCTGCCTGTCAATGCGAGCCTGCTTGTCTGGATGCTGCATGGGGCTCGGGTTTATCTGCATGTTGACTGTGCAGAGGCTGCTGTTGCCAGCTGGGCTGGGGCTCCTTGGTGCTGCCCCGTCTCCCCTAAGCCTGGCAGAATCCAAGTGCACCTGCGTTTCTCTCTGGGAACCCTGTGCTCTGAGTGCTACTTCATACCCTTCCTGCCTTCTTGAACCTTGTTCGCTTAGACCCTGTTCAGAAATCAAGAGAATGTCATGTCTGTGTTTTTAGTTCTGAGTGCCAGGTAATATATTCCACAGTTGAAAAGTTTTGGCAAAGATACTTTTCCCCTGGAGCTTTGGAATTCTGATGATCTTAGGGCTAGTTATTCTTGAGCTTCAAACTAGAAGTGGTAGTTCTAGAGAGGTGTCCAATTTTTTGAGGTAAGAAGTCATAGGCCAAACCCAAAGTGTTTGGTATTTCTCCCCTAAAGGTGTTGGGCCTCCCCCAGGGTTTCAGTGTTTGGCCGTGTGGCATTCTTCTAATGGTGCTCTTTGACTTAAAAAGAAAGTTTCATTTAAAGACCACATAGATTTAGAACGGGAAATCCATTGAGGATTGGCTTTTAATGCCTTACCTTGGCTTCATTGTCCTTTGGGTAACCTAGATGTGAGAAGTAGTTTTACGTGAACACTCATCCCTGAGTGGCCTTTATTGAGCTTCTGGCAGCAAACCCCATAGCCTATGGCCAATAGCACCAAACCCTGTTGGGAGTCAGCTGGGGGGTCCTGAGGCCACCTCATCATACTCCAGCGTTCTGGAACAGCCACATGGGGGCCCACGTCTTTCTCCAGGCCCCACTGAGTTTGAAAAGTAAGGTGGTGGTTGTATCTTCTTCTTCAGAGGTGGTCTCCAGCTGGGGTTCAGTCTAGAAGCACTAAGATACCATGAAATCCCAGACGTGAACCAGTTCTTGACTGCAGGCAGAGCCACAGCGTGTGGGGACAGTCTCCGGCTCAGGAGAGCCACCCTTAGCTTGAACCGGACCAGCTGTTGGGGAGGGCCTGGCCCCCTCCAGCGGTGAGCAGGCTTGCTAGTGTTGCTTTGGGCTGCGTGCACTTCTCCCCACAGGAAAGCGCTGCCTAGCTGCTGACCTCCACCCCCTCTCGGGGGCCCCAGCAGAGACAACACCACTGCATCTCCTCACTGGCGAGCACATCTTGCCCTGCCCAGGGCCATCGCTGGCCAAACAGTTGCTCAAGAGTAGCTGTCCCTCCAGGCCAGCTGTCCCAAGTGTTCTGTGTTTCAGGACAACGGCTCCCAGAAAGCTGATGGCGACGTGCTGGACTCCGTGCCCGAGGTTCAGGAGACAGTGCAGGTCATTCCCGGCAGCAAGCTACTCTGGAGGGTCAACACTCGGCCCCCCAACTCTGCCCAGGTTTGTACACCCCCCGCAAGTCCGGGCCTCTCTGTGCCCCCAACCCCTGGCCCGGCTCCTCAGCTGTTCCTCAGGCCGTTGTCCCAGAGCAGAGGGGCCCTCTGTCTCTGGGTTGGACTGTGCTGCAGCGTGAGCCTGTGGGGGCTCCCGGCCCTCCTGGAGCCCCAGCCAAGGCCTGGCCTTGGCCTGACCTCCCTGCGGCGAAGGCTGCACTCTGCCAACAGGTCGTGTGGGCGTGATGCGCCCCGGCACACGCATGGTGTGATGACTGCCTGCTCTAGATGGCCTGCACCGGCTGGGTCTTCCTGAAGGGCCTTCCAAATCGGTCTGAGACCTTGTTTTTCTGACTTAACAACTTAGAGGTTTAAATGCATTCTGGTATTTTGAAAATTAGACTTACAATTTGTATTACATATAACAAGTTAACTGATAAATGCAATGACATTGTGTAATAAGTTTATTTTAGTATCTATTGTTAATTGTTTTGTTCAAATGTAAGTTACATATGTAACTTGTATACGTACAACATGTTATACAATTTTTTATTATAGCGGAGCATGTGTAAAATAAGTAAAAGGAAACAAAATATCCCCCTGTGTACATATTCTGTAGCATGGCCACAGTTTGCTCTCAGCAGGGTGTAAAATAGTATGATGGAACAGAAAAAAAGCCGTATTTCTTTCCAGGGAATTCCTTTTACAAGTAGTGCTTGCTTCTCCCTCCTTTGGTTCCCTGCGTGTGTGGAGCTGCCCACAGACGCTGGGTGCACCTGGGCCCCGGGAACGGAGCTGGAGCTGGAGCTGGAGCACGGAGTTGGTGTGGCCCCTGGCCTGGACCCCTATCTGAGGCGGCAGCAGGGACCTTTTCCGCACCTGACGGGGGCAGGGGCATGCTGTGGGGCTCTCGGGCCGCATCTGGGCAAGGGGATCCGCAGGGCAGTCCCCCAGGAGCTGGTGACACTCAGATGCTCCAGTGGCTTCGAGCTGTGAGCTGTATGCAGAAACCAGTACCGTTGGTAGTAACAGCGTCTGTGCGTCTCTCTCCAGATGTACAATTTCACCAGTTTCACCGTCAGCCTCAATGAGCTGCAGAGTGGCATGGAGAAGACCCTGGCCCCCACGGACTGCCGCCTGCGCCCCGACATCCGCGGCATGGAGAACGGCGACATGGGTGCGCACGCAGGCTGGCAGGGGAGGGGCGCACGGGCCATAGGTGGACAGACAGAGACGTGCAGGACAGTGCTTCTCATGCTCTCCATGCTGGAAGAGTTTTAAGAATTCTAGCTTGTTGCAGTCCAATCCTTTTGCAAATACGATGCAATTAAATTACAGGAAAAATGAAACAGAATGCATGCAAAATACAAGTCCCTGAGGTTTTATTATTAGCGTCAATAGACATTAAGGTAACGTTCCAAAGATTGCACATTTTGTCTGTTAAAAGTCAGCGTAGGCCCCATGTCCCAGGCTAGTTGGCTCACATACCGTGGATGTATCCATGTGACGGAGCCGGCCACATGCTCATTCCCCCGCTGCCTCGGGTCAGGCCAGCAGCCTGGGACCCCCTGGAAGGCTGTCTGAAGTGGCCCTGGGACTTGTTTACATGGTTGGTGTTCAGTGGAGAGAATGCGCAGGGCGGGCGGGCAGGCAGCCCCCCCTCTCTCGAGAGCCAGCCTCTGAGCTCACACTTGCAACCAGGCAGCAGCCCTCAGGCTCCTGCGTGGCAGCTAGCTGCGGGTCATGTCCACGGGAAGTGGCTCCTGCTGACCCTGCCCTGTAGGTCGAGTTGCCCGTGAGCCTCACCGCGCTGCTGCGTGGTGCTGTTTCACAGGCTCTGCTGTGTGCCCCTGTGTGGTGGGGGCACACGGCCTGCCTCTCCCCGAAGCCCTGCTGATGTCCAGGCGCTGCCCTACCCTCGCCCCAGAGTCTGGTTTGCAGATGATGACATTTCTTGCCAATGGGACTGTTTGTCTTGGGTCTGGGATGGGGCCATTCCAGCATCTGCTTCCTTTAGTGCTCACCTATGCTTGAGGTCAGCTGGGAGCTTTACTGTCAAGCCTGACTCCTGACCCAGACCGTGTGTTTGGCCCCCAGATCTGGCGAGCCAGGAGAAGGAGCGGCTGGAGGAGAAGCAGAGGGAGGCCCGGAGGGAGCGAGCCAAACAGGAGGCTGAGTGGCAGACGAGGTGAGGCCTCGGTGGCAGAGAGGGGGCAGTGGCGAGGGCCCCACGTGCACCTGTGGCTGAGCAGAAGCTCTTCTGGGGTCCCATTAACGTGGGGCCCATGGCACAGACAGGCCGAGTCTCCCAGGAGGCGAGCATGCACCCTGCGGTGCCTGCACAGGTCAGCTCAGATCCGGGCCTCACAGTCCTGCCCACGGCATGTCTGACCCTGAGCGCTCTGCTCAAATAGGGCACATTTTAAAAGGAAATGTCGTCTGAAGCAAGCCATTAAGGGGAGGCAAACACAGCTTTCAGAAAGGCAGAGCTGTGGAAGAAGTCGTGTGTTTAACCATCACCCCGTGGCCCTGCCACTGGCACGGCTGCTGTTCTGCACGTCACCTGCCACGTGGCACAGGTGGCCTGAGCAGCCACGGCCAGGGATGAGGTAACGCGGATGGGGGGGCGCATGGAGCCCCGTGTGCCTGGGGTTGGGGGGCGCCCGCAGGTCAGGACACACCTGTGCTCAGACCAGGTGGGAGACAGGGAGACGGGGAGCGGACACTGCCGGAACTGGGCCTCCTGCTGTCTCACTGCAGAATGGTGGGGAGTTGTAGTTTGTGAGCAGTCACAGTTCAGTCAGGTTAAGTGCTGTAACACTTGAGCATAACTAAAAATACGCATCTTAAAATGTTAGTCCTACAGAAATCTTCAGGTGGTTCTGGGCTGTTCATTCAGTATTCTTTCCAGTCACACTTCAAGTGTCGTAATTGTTCTCAAGGTCCAGGACGATCACCTCCACTGACGGTTATGTGACCAACATTTTTAAAACCAATTCTTCGTGCTTGGGCTCCCAACTTGATTTAGTATCATGCTTTAAGTAGTTTGACATTTGGAATTAGCTTTGTTCCAGAAAAAGCTTGAAAAGAGTTAACCTTCTTTCATTGTTTTTCTTTAAGTGATTGATTTAAAAAATATATGTGGTGGAGATAATGTTATTTTGTCCTAAGATGGTGACTTCTACTTTGTGACCCCCCCACATCCACTTTATGATAACTTGCAGGCATCCTCTGTTGTCTTCATGTCGTGCAACAGAAGTAGAGGTGGCCCAGGGGGTGGGGTGGGGGGG